CATCTTTCTCCCACGGAGCAGCTGGTAGTTTCGAACCACTGACCTTAAGGTTCGCAGCCCGATTCATAACCACTACGCTACCAGAGCTCCTTACTACTGCATAGTAGTGTGTGTCAAAACACCCAATAAAGAAAGGCCTGCCTACTGGCCAGGACAAAAAAAGGCCTGGCAGGGGCACAGCCAAGAGAAGGACAGCCCATCTGTAGGCATAACCGAGAAAGAACTGAGAGCTGTCTTGATTAGAAGCCATCCTAACCTGTCTCCTGAGTTGAATTCTGTTATTTTCAAGTCGACCCTGATCCCAACTGTTACTTCCCTAACAAGTGTGTGGTCTGCGGGTTTTGTGTGGCTATTGCAGCCAACTGTTGAACCCTGCAGAGAAGCGGAGTGCCGTGGCCAGTCAGATTGGTGAGGAATTTGGAGTGGAGGTACATACGTCTGACCTCTACATCATAGGAATCAGCTTTGTGCTGACCTTGATTCTCATTCCTCCTCCTGAATATAGACAAGGTCTAATGCTTCTAGAATGTCAGGAGTTAACTGGTATTCATTCATTCTGGTAATAAAGAGCTACCATTGAGACCGGCTTTGGTGGCAGGCAGACACTGCCTCTTAACCATGTGGCCTTGAGCAGGTGACTTCACCTCTCTGCCTGGGTTTCCAGTGAGGTGAGGCAGCAGAACCACCTCTCTCCAATACCGTCCCACAGGGGTGTCTGAAGATAAGTAGATGGGGACTAGTATATCCTAGCATTAGCTCCCCTTCTTGCTATTCAACTATTCCAGATACTTCTTGAGGGCTGGCCAAGTCAGCAGACCAGCTTGGGGGCTCAGGGGGCCAGAGAGGCAGGACCCCAATCTCCACAAATGGCTCTCCTCCCCCGGCCCTGGCCCCTCTTAGTACAACCCTAGAAGGCCCTTTCCCTAGAACCCTCTGAGCCCTTGACCTCTGAGCCACTCCCTATCCCTTGACCTTGTCTGAAATCAAATCTGTTCTCTGTTGACCTAAGGGGTGTGGCATGGTGGTAGCAGGGCGAGGCTGTGAGGGTCATCGCTGAAGGGGTGTAGCAGCAATAATAACAGAAGCTTCCTGGGTGGTAGGCCTGGGCCTTGGCCCCTGATGGCATGGGAAGCTGAGCTCCAGGATCCCCGGGTTTCATCTCCCACTTCCCTGGATTTAGTACGGCCTGGAAAAGGGACATTCCCCACCAACTCTACCTTCCTTTCCAGCAATCACTCAGCAGGAAGGGGCAGTGGTGGAGAGGGAAGGCAGGCGGCCCAAATGACATTCTGACACCCACATAGTTCCTAACAGTGTCACCCTGACTGACAGGTGCCCTTGCAGCCGTACTCAGGCTCTGCTGTAATCATTTGTTTACCATTGGCTCCTCCCACTAAACTGTGTGCTCCCCGAGGGCAAGGCCCTGTGTTATTCATCAGTCCCAGCCCAGCTGGCATACTGCTGAGGTTTAGCAAACATGTGTGGAATGAAGAAGTAGCCTGCCTACAGCATCTATTACCCCTGCAGCCTGACTCCTAGGGCTACTTCTCTGGCCCAGACTTGACCCCCAACACCAGCCCTGGGTGTCTCTGCAGCACTTCAGATTCACTGCGGCCTTCCTCTCTTCAAGCCACCACTGTTTCCAGAAAATAACACTGCCACCTGCTCAGGCGATCAGACACCCCCAAATGTGGTCAGTCCAATCTATCTCCTACGTGGTTTTGAGACCATCTTATCTGCAGTCACCTAAGTGCAAGCCCTCCTGGCCTTCGTCCAAATGACTCCTTAGCCTCCTCTGGGTCTCCCTGTTTCACCACCCTGCCCATGCCCCACCAAAATGAACCAAGTAAGTGTTAGGCTGCTCAGTGAAAGGTCAGTGTTTCAAATCCACCAGCAGCTCTCAGGACTATGAATTGGTCCGCTTCCGTAAAGATTTCCAGTCTAGGAAACCCCATGAAGCAGTTCTACTCTGCCCCAGTATAGGGTTATTGTTGTTGTTATGTGCCCTGGAGTCGGTTCAGACTCATAGCGACCCTGTACAGGGTTTCCAAGGCTGTAAATCTTTATGGGAGCAGAACGTCTCATCTTTCTCCCACGGAACAGCTGGTAGTTTCGAACTGCTGACCCTGAGGAAATTCACTTGATGGGAGGGGGATTGGTTTGGGTTTGTGTCCCACCGACTCCCTCCACTCCTCATAGCTCACTGCCTGCCTTACTGGGCCTGAGACCTTTCTATGAGTGTGTGTGTGGGGCGGGGGGGGGGGCTCTTACTGCCTTCCAGATAAAGTCCATAACTCTATAAGGAGGGGCCATGAAGAGTTGGTCCCCATCAAGGAAGCTGCCCCATTTTCCCTCATGACAGGCTCTGGGGTGCAGCCTGGGCCCCCTCATTGGCTCTTCAGCCATGCATCTCATTTACCCCTCCCTTCAGGCCTGTTTTGTTGTCTGACCATCTTGCTAGTGTCAACTTTAGAAGGACCAGGACTCTGTCTTGTTCATTGCTGAATCCCTAAGGCTGAGCATATTATAAACATACACACACACACAAAACCCAAAACCCACAGCCACCAAGTTGATTCTGACTCATAGCGACACTATATAGTGTTTACAAAACTGTAAACCTTGTTGGGAACTGACCCCCATCTTTATCTTGAGGAGCAGCTGGTGGGTTTGAACCACCAACCTTGAAGTTAGCAGCCCAATGCCTAACTTAGAGTGCCACAAGGGCTTTGTTTGTTGAATGAATGCATGACTGAATGGAGAACCAGGTAGAAATCATGTCTTAAGTCTCAGTCAGTACAGTACCAGGCACAGTGCTTGGAACCTCATGAGCGCTCAGTATTTGTAGGTCAAAAGAATGAAGAGGCAAAGGGAAAGAAAAGACTGGACTCTAGGACCCCCAATTTCTGTCTCAAGACTCACCCAGTCTCCGGGGCAACCCTGCCCTTGTGCTCCCCCAGTCTTACCCCACCCCCTTTGTCATTAACTTTTCTATCAATAGCAGTTCCAATACACCACACTTCAGCTTTACGGAACCTTACAGTTTACAAGAAGTCCTTGTTCAGCACCAGAGGATAAGCAATGGACGGCTAACCATGAGGCTGACAGTTCAAACTTATCAGACACTCCTTAGAAATCCTATTCAGGGTCACTATAAGTCAGAACCAACTCAACAGCACTTAACAACAACAGTCTACAAAATTGTTGTTGTGAAGTGCTGTTGAGTTGGTTCCGACCCACAGCAACCCTGTATAGGGTTTCTGAAGAGCAGCTGGTAAGCTTGAACCGCTAACCTTGTAGTTCAAATGGCTTTGGGTCTGGCACATTAACCCACAGTGCCACTCCAGGACTCCAGTTTACAAAATGCTCACATATAAAATACTCACTTATGCTCCTCAATCACCCAGAGAGTCACACTTTGCCCAGACTTTAGTCCCTTTATGAGCTGGAATCCTGGTGTAGCACTGGACTGCTAACCAAAATGTTGGCTGTTCAAACCCATCAGTCGCTCCTGAGGAACTCTATACTATGAATCAGAACCAACTCCATGGCACTTAACAACAACATGATCTGTGTGGACACTGACAAATTTCAGTGACTTCTCTACATCCATTTCCCCATCTGTGAAATGGGGATTAGGCTGCCCACCTTTCAGGAAGGTGAAGAGGCTTTCAAGACACCACACACGTAAATCTCCTAGCATGGACCTGTCCCTGGGACATGCTTAATAAAGCCACAGCTACACTCTTTCCCCCAGGGACTCGTCCCAAATCGGAGACCAGCACTGTGGTTTTCTGATCCCGAAGGCTCTGTTCTCACTTGTTAAACTAGTCCTTCTTTCAGGCGCTGTGTAGCTGCTGCTGGGGGCTGGCTTTGGAGGGGCAGCCTCACCCACTGAAATCAGCCACATTCTTATCTAAAACAACCCTCTCCACCTTTTAGAGGCTGCCGGACCGGGGATGCTCCGGGGCGCCCGCAGACCCCGAAGGCGCGGTGAAGGCGGATGAGGGGCATCCCAAATCGGCCTCGCCCACTGGGCTAGCCAGGGTTTAAGAGTCCAGATCTGCGCCTCTCGCCCCACCTCGCTCCCCAGTACACTTTTTGGTGGGAATCAGCGTTCTGGGAGCTCCCGCTTGGGTTCCAGGCACCTCGGGTGACCACTCCAAGCCCCCCTCCCTGACTTCTTCCCCCTCAGGACCTCCAGCTGGGACGGGGCTGACATTCCACCCCCTCGCCATATCCCCCTCACCCCCCGACACGGTACCGCTCAACCCGTGAAGCCCACGTAAGACTCCCAGAGAACCGCGGTTCCCCTTCCCCGGGAACCTGTGACTGTCACTGACCCATCTTCTTCAACGCCAGCAGTCCTGGCCTCTTGGTACCGCTGTCCTTGGGCTGGGGCGGCCGCGCGATGGGCGCCGCGACCTGGGCCGAGACCGGGGGCTCCTCTGGAGGGCCGCGACAGCTCCTCCAGCGGCCGCACAGCATGGCTCGTGGGGCCGGGGCCGGGCCCGGGGTCTGCGCGCGCGAAGTGGGCAGCGGGGACGCTCTGGCTCGGCCCCGGCTCCGCGATCCGAGGCAAGCAAGGAAACTTAGCGGCGCCGAGAGGGAGCGGAGAGGAGGCACCCGGAGGAGGGAAGAGCCGGGAGGAGGGAGTAGAGGGGAGGCTAGGACGGGAGGAGGGATCTAGGGGGTAGCAGGGAAAGGCGGGAGGAGGGAGGGGCTGGGATGAGTGGGCGGGGCCAAGGAGGGCGCTGGGAGGTGCCAGTGGCGCGGGGTTGGGGGGGTGCTTATCCCAGTCAGGGAGAGCCTTCCCGGAGATCCCCCGAAGTTCCACGTTTATCTCGCTGCTCGTGGGTCCGCCTCCCCATTCTCTGAACATGCCTCGAATCCCAGCCCCAACGGTGGTCACAGCCCCATTCCGAGGGATGCTTTTTCACAGACATCCTCTCCTTCCCGGGACCCTAACTTAATGCGACTCTGTGCTCCTCTCCACCCTTCTCCTTCCCCTCACCCCCGGAGTCTTCAGGAGAGAGCCAGACTGTAAGGGGAGAGGTGTCAGGGAGGCTCTTCCTGGCCAGTGGTTCTCGGGAGGCGGAGGAGGGGGCGCAAGGGAAACGCAGGCTAAGGGAGCGGGATGCGGGGGGGAGGGGGAGAGACAGAAAAGGCTCTGGCTGTGACGTCATAGGATTAACCCTCCGGGAGCCCGGCCTACTACTGTCCCTTCGGTGGTAGAAGTCTCGAAACTGAGTAGCCTGGACAGGATGGACTAGAGCTAGGTCTTAAGTTCCCGGCGACTGGTTCTGGGGTTTAAGGCTTGGACAGATCCGCACCTCACCAGGCGCTCCGAGGTCACCGAGACGGCCGTCGCATGGCGCTTATCCAATTACTGTGTGTTCGCATCGAGTTCTCCCGGTGGCCGTGTTCTTTGTGCACTTAACATATGTGAAGTGTGCGCGAAAGGGGCTTTACAGGTGACGAAGGCTTGCGTGTGCGTGTCTGCTTAGTGCCCTGGGTCGGGGAGTGGGGAGGTGGAGAGCTGGGCGCACAGCGCCACTTGGCGACCGCCAAGTGAGTGGTACCCCCAAAAGAAAGTTTAGTTTTTGAGGACGGCACTTAACAGTATTTGCCATCTACTTGTTCCCCGGCTCTATCTCCCTATCAGAACCCCCGGCCCAGAGATCTGGCATAGTGACTTGGGACCCCACGCTACTTTGTTGTTGTTAAGTGCCGTCGAGCCAATTCCGACCCATAGCGACCCTGTATAGGGTTTCTAAGGAGCAGCTGGTGAGCTTGAAACACCGACTTTATAGTTCAAACGACTTTGCAGTCTGACGCAAACACCTTTATAGTTCAAACTACTTTGCAGTCTGACTTTGCAGCGCCACACCTTTGGGGTCCTGAATTTTCTTCCTGAATAGCAAGTTTTCGCTTGATACTACAGTTCCTCATTCTTGTTAGTTGCGTCAGCTATGAAATAAACTTCTTTGTCTCTTACCCAGAACGCCTGACCCCAGGACATGACTTCCTTTTTTTTTTTCCAAGCGCCTGTTACGTGTTTGATGAGGTGGATTGAGTCTTTCCTAACTGCTGCGGCAGAGCTAAGCGTCCAGATGAGGATTTCCACCAGGTGGCGCGAGAACTCAGCGTCGTTTAGCTATGTCCACCAGGTGGCGCTGCTGCATTCCTCTGGCCGTCCGGGGGTGGAGAACTGGACTAGCGCGTTCGCCCCGCCTGATTGGGAGAGGCGCCGTGAAACTATTTACATAATCTTGAAAGAGCCACGCTAAGTGGTTGGAGTATAAAAGCCGAATGTGAAACGGGATCTCTTATTGGTTCAAATTTCTGCCCTCGCTTCTGGCCCATATCCCAGCTAGTTTTGGGCCGGAGGTCAGTCGGAAGCCGTAGGCAAGTGGTGAGAAAAAGACCTAGGTTCTCGGGCAGTGGACGCCGCGGGGTGAGTGGAGGAAGACCGGATCGGAGTACTAGAATCCAGGGCGAGACACTGTTCGCCCCACCCTGACTCCTACCCTTCTCCCGTCTAGGAGTTGGGATGCGTACCTAAAGAGGAGCTTCTGGAAACAGCTGATACTGCCTCTCTGCCCACTCCCCAGGGCTCCCGAAGGTCTCTGACACCCTGGCCCCCATCCACGCTGCCTTGGGATAGGAAAAGGAGTCCCTCAGCCTCATCTCTTTCTTACCTCCGGGGTATCCCTCAGGCAGAGAAGGAGCTTGGTTTGCCCGTCGGAAAAGTGGACTTATGGAGGTGTGTACGGGGTGGGCCCTGGAGGCCTGCTCTTACGGACCTTGTTCTTGCAGAATCTCTCAGAAGTAGGGCTCCCGGGCTCCGAACAGCTAGGTATGGGCACCGAGAATGAAGGTCCAGGGCCAGACTGTCAGAAGCAGTTTCAGGCTGCAGTCAGCGTCATTCAGAGCCTGCCCAAAAATGGTGAGGCCATGGGGACACCCTGGGGACCCATGTTTACTTGGGGTGCCAGGCCTGCTGCCATCTGGCCTCTGAAATTCCTAAAGAAAGGCCCTACCTGGGCTGTTGTGTGGGACTCCTCTACCACTCACTCCTGTCCAGTTGCCCTGAAGGGGACCTTGCCCTGTCTCTGTCCGTTCCAAGGGTGGTCCCCTGTCACCTTCATCCTCCTGGGGCTGGGGGTGATGTTCTGTACTCCACTTCCCAATCCCTGCTCAGGTTCTTACCGACCCTCCTACGAAGAGATGCTACGATTCTACAGTTACTATAAACAGGCTACTATGGGGCCCTGCCTGGTTCCCCGACCTGGTTTCTGGGATCCCATTGGACGTTATAAATGGTGAGCTCCCTACCACCCTGGCAAGCAAGTCTCGGCTGTCAACCAACCCTCTCATTGACCTCTCCCACCCCCCACCCCACCCCCCAGGGATGCCTGGAACAGCCTGGGCAAGATGAGCAGGAAGGAGGCCATGTCCGCTTACATCGCTGAGATGAAGGTGGTGGCGCAGAAGGTAGGGGGGATGTCCCACCCCTCTAGGGCTACCCTCATTATGTTCCCTGCCCATCTCTTGTCCCTGAGAGGTCGGGTGGGCAGGGGGTTGAATGGCCAGCTCCCCACACAGGCCCCATCACCCACAGGTGATTGACACAGTGCCGCTGGGCGAGGTGGCAGAGGACATGTTTGGTTACTTTGAGCCCCTGTACCAGGTGATCCCCGACATGCCAAGGCCCCCGGAAATCTTCCTGAGAAGAGTCACAGGTCAGGCGCCCAGGATGGGAGCTCAGCCAGTGCTGAGGGGACTGCTTGGTTGGGAGCGGGAAGACTGGCGGCAGAGGGTTCCAGGTGATGACTCTGTGAGAACCCCATCCAATGTCCCCAGTGAAATGGGTCTCATGGACAGTATCCAGAACTAGTGGAGAGCAGGGGCGGGTACCAGCCTCCCCCCAGATACACCCTCTGGATGTTGTGTTTCAGCAGGTCGGAAAGAGCAGGTATTGAATGTTGGGACTGACCTAGAGCCTTCCTGTCCCCCAAAGGAATCGACCCCTCCCAGCCAAGGTCAGTGCTTGGGCAGCAGGGACAGAGAGCCAAACCCTGGTGGGGGGACCTCTGGGTGGGTGGAGGAGAGAAGACTGGTTGCCACACTTCACCCTTCATGCACCATGCTCTCAGACACGAAGACCACCTGTACTCTCAAAGTCCAGGCCATAGGGTCTGAGAATCTTGGACCAGGGCCTCATTTCTGTGGGTGACCTATTTGTGTCCCTTATCGCGTTGTCTCCACTGTCCCCTGAACAGGTTCTCTGTCTTGCTGCATGCCCTTCCTGTTCCTCTGTCAACTTCCTCTGGTCACTATCTCTGCCCATCCCCTCCCCAGAGCCGCAGATACCCAGGGACCTGGATTCCGAGGTTTTCTGTGATTCCCTGGAGCAGCTAGAACAGCTCGAGCCAGGAGTGGTGAGACAGCCCCATTCTCCCCCGTCCCAACTCCCCTTGTGCCTGGCTGCTCCCACCTACCCTTGGACCTGGTGAATCATGTCAACAGGTTTGGGAAGAGCAGAGGGGAGCACTTGGAGGAGAGCTTGATACCCGGACCAGCCCCGGGCCCACCAGAGAGGAGGGTGAGCCCTTGCCTGACCTTTCACCCTCCCCTGCCCTTCCTGAAGTTCTGGCATCCAGGCTATTCCCTTAGGGCAGAGATGAAAGTCCAGCACTGGGCACCCAGAGAGAGAGCAACCTCTGTCACAGGCAGACACCCGCCTGGGTGGGCAAAGTCTCTGCCCTGCCCCCTCTTCCAGGAGCCTGCAGCCTCTGCCCCTGCTGAAGGGATGAGAGTCCTATCCCAGCCTTATGGTCCTGGGATGTCACCCTCTCTCTCTGGGCCTCCCATCTGGGAATCTCAAAGGAAAATAGGAAGTCTTGCCTTCTCCCTATTCTAGAACTTCCCATGTACCAAGACCCACCAGGACACATTCATATATATCTTTTATTTCTCTGGGCAAGCAACTCTGAGGGAAAGCACATTTTATCTTAATTTTCAGATGGCAGAATGTGGCTCAGAGAAGTGAATGACTTGTCCAAAGTCACACAGCTAGTAAATGGTAGTACAGCGTGTTACTAGGCCTTTGAAAGTCACACTTGGTACAAGGATTGCGTTCTATAGTTGTACTTCTCTGGATGTGACCCAGCCTGCCACCACCCAACCGAACCTCTAGCTGAGCTGCCTGGTGAGTTCCGCTTTCCTGTGTGTCTATGCCCCACAGAGTCCTTGGGGAGCAGCCTGCTAGGACACCAGGAATTGGACACGTGGCTGGTGGGGACAGTTCGGGCGCTGCAGGAAAACATGCGGGATATCCAGGGGAGACTGCAGAGTCTGGAGAGCATGGCCCTCCCCCACAAACAGGTGAGGTCCCTCCAACTCTATTAAAACTGGGGTGAAGCTCTGCAAGTCCCAATTTCAGCTTCTTCACCTTTTGTCTGTGTCCCCAAACCTCCACCAGCCTACAGCCTCCTCCAGACAATTCAGTGGCTCTTGTTGCCAGCAGGAAAGCCAGGGGGTCTGAAAAGCTCCTCTCTGTAACGGGGCATGCGAGGGCTCTTACCTCCCTGCTGCCTAAAGAGAAAGGCGCAGGAGAATGAATTCTGAGAGGTGGAAGGGCCTCCATGTAGCTGCTCTTTGCATGAGGCTGGGGGCCCTTATCACTCATCAGGCTACTGTTCCCAGACTTAGGGTTTCCCCAAAAACAGATCAGCCCTTGTAGCCTTCACCCCCTTCTTCTGATGCCTAGATCTGCTTGCCTCCATCTACCTTGGTACCTGCACACCTGCCAAATGAATAACAGCTGCCATTTTGCCAGCTGCAGCTGTGAACCTGACTTGCTACTTGCATTATCTCATTTAATGGCACATCAACCCTATGAAATAGATTCTCTTTTCATCTCCTTTTTACAGATGAGGAAACTAAGGCTCTGAGAGGTTGAGTAATTTTCTGAGGGCCCACAGCCTGGAAGACCCTCACAGAGCTGTTGTGAGGATTAGGTGAGATAATGCCAAACACACAGGAAGCCCTTCCCAAACCCTGGGCCTTTGTTGTTGTGAAGTGCCATCGAGTCAGTTCCAACCCATAGCGAACCTGGATAGGGTTTCTGAGGAGCAGTTGGTGAGCTTGAACCACCAACCTTGTGGTTCAGAGCAGCTTTGCAGCTCAGCACATTAACCCACAGTGCCACAGCAGGACTAGTATTTTTAGCAGTAAATGATGGAGCTTGGAGTGGCTCCAGTTTCATCCCCCATCAGTAACTTTGAATGGGGCCTGTTGTGAGAAGCTTGGGGTAGGAGGCGCTGCATTACTGAATGTTTGGAATCTCTCAAGTGACCCATAACCTGCTCAGTACAGTGGGTATCAACCAGGTGGTAGGAATGTCCCCAGGTCTACAGCAACGCCCCACTCCCCCACCCTGAACATTTTTTTTTTTTAACCTTTTACTAACTTTATATGATGTGATTGTAAGTGGATTGGCAACATCATGGGAGGCCCTGGTGTGATGTGCTTGGATGCTAACTGAAAGGTTGAGATTTCGAATTCACCCACAGGCACCTTGGAAGTATCAGCCATTGAAAACCCTATAGAGTACAGAGCTACTCTGACACACACATGGGGTTGCCATGGGCTGGAACGACTGAACAGCAACTAGAACTGGTACAGAATACAGACATCCTCAGGCCTGCCCCTAAGTACTTGGGCTACAGCTCTAAAAATAGGAACATTCTATTCTCTAGCCAAAATAGCATTTATCACACAATTAGTGATTTCTATATATCATTTAATACCTACTCCAAATCCAAGTAAGGAGCCTTGGTAACATTGCCTAATGGAGTACAAGCTGGGCTGCTGACCGCAGGGTCAGTAGTTGGAATCTACCAGTTGCTCCATGGGAGAAAAATGAGGCTTTCTACTCCTATAAATATTGACAGCCTTGGAAACCCCATACAGGGTTCCTGTGAGTCAGAACTGACTTGGGAGCACACAACCACCCCACCAAATCCGAATTTCCCCAGTTGTTCCAAGATTGCCTTTTTCATCTGCTCTGCCCAGTCCAAAAGCACACACAGTAGTTTATGGTCCTTAAATCTCTTCTTGAGAACAGCCCCATTTCCTAGCCACTAACGTGGCTTTGTTTAATGATATTCTCAGGGTATCATTTAGCTAGCTCCTCTAGACACTAAATTTCCTGTGCACTAGAGGTTAGCTCTATGAATTCCTGGTGTGGTGCTGGAGGATCAGCACTGGTCTGTGAACCACAAGGTCGGCAGTTCAAGCCCACTAACTGCTCCTCAGAAACCCTGGACAGGGTTGCTAGGAGGCAGAACGGACTCAACAATATTTAACAGCAACAAAGAGGTTAGCACTAAGGGCTGCATTAGAGTCCAGTTAGATGGTTCTGATCAGCTTATATTAAATGTTCTCCACATCAGGGACACATGACACTTAGATGTCCCACCAGTAGTGTTTCTAGTCTGACCACTTACATGGATTATAATGGTCTGCTCCTATCATTATAAAGTCACGTTTTCCTCTTGCAGCCAGGGAATGAATAGTCTGTCTTTTCATACGTTGGCATTTCACAAATATCCTGTTCCCTGCGAACCCCATTTGCCACACAGTTTTTCCTAACACCAATTGATGCTCCTTGCCTTGATCTATCATTTACTTGGTGGTTGCAAAAAATGTTGACTTTAAAATTTATTATTCCTTTAACATTTATTAACTGTCATTTTTTCAGTCAAGTATTAGTTTTTCTGATCATCTGGGGTTTCTCAGAAATATAGTTCCTTCTGGAAAGGCAGGATAAGTGGTGCTTTTTTTTTTTTCTATTTTAAAGGAAGGCATTAAGACAAATCTTTACGGGAGCAGAACGCCTCATTGTTCTCCTGCGGAAAAGCTGGTAGTTTTGAGCTGCTGACCTTGCGGTTTGCAGCCCAATTTGTAACCACTACGCTACCAGAGCATAATATTTCAATCAACTGCAATCATCACTCTATTTGATGCTCAGATTGTCACAGCTTTGGTCAGTACGGGTCCTATGTCCTTCTAACAGGACCTCATTCATCTTTATAAGCTTCCTTGCTCTCTGCTACAAGATGGTCCACATTCACTTCTACCTTCCTTGTCCTAAAACTGGAGTCAGCCACTTCTCCAAGGAAACTTGAATCCTCTTAGTGGGGAATGGTATTGAGAAAAAATCTGAGTGCCTAGGGCCCTTTGCAATATGTGGCAATAGGGCGTCTTCCAATCATAGCAACAGGGCCATTGCTGTGTGGCCTAGAGGAAGCCCGGAAGCCATCCTTCTATATAGCAGCCCCTCCAGGAATCTTGGGTTGACCTGGGAGGAGGATACTTTGTCGACACCCCTTCTTCCAGATTTCTGAGGGAGAGTCTCCTCTGGCCCAGTTCTCACACCTTTGGGGAGGCTGAACTCCTACTAAGCTCAGGATAGTTGTGCTGAGGTTTGAGCTTGTCCCTGACTCCCTCCTCTTGGCAGCAGATACCCCCATCCAGTGGCCGGCCTTGGCCCTTCAGACTCTCAGGTCCCACGCTGCTCTTCTTCCTCCTGTGGCCCTTCGTTGTCCAGTGGCTCTTCAGACAGTTTCGGGCCCAGAAGAGGTGACTCTCCATGGAGAGGTCTCTGCAATCAACTGACTGGAGGCAAGGCTACCAGCCCCCTTGTTCTGCTGCGTCTCCCCTCCCCCAGCCTTCCAAGAGCTTCTGGAAGGCATTAAAAATCACCCCCATCAGTGTTTGCCTTCACATCCCCCTCCACTAACGGGGATCAGACAACACCCCACCCTTTCCTGCAGATTCCCATGAACACTTCCCTTCCACAGCCACCCAGCCTGCCCTAGGAGGCTGCAGTGTGGCGCAGGTTCCCTGTCGGGGTCTGCCAGTGACTGGGCGGGGCTGCTGGGTCTAAGCTCCTGCCCTCTCCACCCTCTGGGTCACCTGACTCCTTCCGCCCCAGCCTCTCCCCAGGAGGTTCTGCTCTTAGGCAAGTTGGGACTTGGGGCCCGGGCCGGCAGTGGTGATTGGCTGGGAGGTCCGGACGAGTTGGACCAGTGAGGGTTAGGGAGTAAGCACCGATTTGTTTTGACCCTCCCCCGCAGCCCACGGCCGCCTTCCACTCACACTCAGGACGTCTTCACTTGTAAAGATTCACTTTACAAATGATTTCACAAAATAAAAGAAAACCTTCATCTTTGGCCGTCTGTGCGCCCCCACCCCACCCCTGGAATGAGGAGAGAAGTCTGGGCGCTCGAGACACAACTCCTTTGCAGCAGTACCCCCACCCCACGGCCCTAGTGAGGCTGGGGCTGGTGTTCATGAATGAGGAATATTTTCCCTCTTCTCCGGGCAGAGATGGGAAAACAGGCCTCGGTGGCGTGGGGTAGCCCTGGGGGAGGGAGGTGTGTGGGACCAGCAACTGCTGCTGGTTGGGGAGGGGGCATGGGTACAGCTGCGGCCTCCCCCCTGCCCGTCGGAGACTCAGTCCTGGGGAACCGGGGGTGACCGAGTAAGAGGAACACGGGGGTCCGGGTGAGGTCGGCTCTGGCCGGGGTAGAGAATGGCTGCTCCCATCTCCCGCGTTCCTGGCCCGGGACTGCCCGCCTCCCGCTGCCTCGCTGTCGGTTCCTTGCTGCCTCATACCTTTGACCTGAGCTCAGATTTCCCCAGGAAACTTAAGACCAAGGCCCAGAGGTAGTTGTGTCCCTTCCTCCCGCCTCCCTCCTACTGTTGTTAAGTGCCCTGCCGTCGAATCTGTACAGACTCATGACGATCGATGATCGATCCTGTATAGCGTTTGGGAGGCTTTAAATATTTGCGAGAGCAGAAGGTCTCATTTTTTTTCCACCGAGCAACTGGCGGTCTTGAACAGCCAACCTTGAGGCTCACAGCCCAGTGTTTATCCTACACAGCCAGCATGCCCTGAGGAATGGGGAAAGGGGTCCTGGGCGGCCCAGAGTCTGGGTCGGGATGGACATAGTGCCTGAACCTTTGGATGCCCCTGGCTGGTGCAGGGTAGGGTTGGAATTAATTTTTCTTTCCACCGCCTGCTTCCCCTACCCCAGTCCTGGCTCCAGCCACCATCCTGAATTAGGTTGCAGAGCTCACCATTCTAAGTGCTTCCTGGTGCCTCTGAGGCATCTGAGGATGACTTCAGCAGCCTAGAGACCCCAGCTGTCTAGAGACCCCTGTAACTCCTGCCTCCAGGACCCTCCAACCCTACTGGATGAAGAAGATGCAGATCTGAAGACTCCTCCTTGGAGACCTTTAATCTCTTGAGTTTCCTGTCAGCCCGTGGCCTGGGCCATGGCCTGGGGTTTGGCCAACATTTGTACCCCAAGTTGTGGCCACTCTGTACTGTCCAAAGGACCCAGCCCAGAATTATAAACAGAGAAGTTGTATTAACCCCTTGTGATCTGGCTGGACAACAGGAGCACAGTGGGAGGGATGAAGTCAATGCCAAGGATGCAGGCAAGGGCTTGAAGCCAGTTCTACCACTTGCACATACTAGTTGTGTGGTCTTAGGCAAGATTCTTAACTTCTCTGAGCTTGGGCTGCCTTGTCTGTGAAACATGTAATGCTCTCTTCATCATCATAAGACAATTCTGATTACATGATCAGGGTATGTAAAATGCCTGGTCAACGGTTGTTAAGTGCCCTTGAGTTGGTTTCAACTCATAGCAACCCTGTATAGGGTTTCCAAGAGTGGCAAAAGTGGGTGGGTTTGAACCGCTGACCTTGTGATTAGCAGTTCCATGCTTATCCTATAGTGTCACACCAGGACTCCTGGTCACGAGTTGTTAAGTGCTGTTGAGTCGGGTCCAACTCATAGCAACCTTGTATAGGGTTTCCAAGAAGTGGCTGGTGAATTTGAACCGCTGAACTTGCAGTTCAAACTGACCTTGCGATCCAGGGCATTATCCCAACTCTCTGAAATGGAGAGGTCTGCCCCTTCTTTGTTATAATTCTAGAAAGTTCCACAAAACCTATCAGTCTGGCTTCCCCTCCCACTATTTGATAGATGAGACCGTGCAGTTGGGCTGTACCAGTGAGCTGAGGCTAGCCTCAGCCCTATCATCGAAATCCCCTTATTTGGGGTACCCAGGTGTCCCCTGGAGTCTGAAACTGTGGTCATAATTTGGAGCATTCCTATTCCGAGTTAAATACTCTGCAAAAATCCTTTACCTCAGGGTGCTCCCAGTTATGAGGGATCAACCATCAGGAAATCAAGTCTCCTGCTTGATGGGATGAGAAACACAGGGTATGGTGTCAGATCAACCCGAATTCTTGGAAGTCCAGGGAAAGAAGGGATGAAAGGCTGGAATGGTCAGTTGCAAAACCAGTCTACACAGGTTATGCCAAATCACCACTGCCCCACAGAACCCCTCCTCGAGTTCCCACTCAAGTCCTTTCTTTGGACATGATGTTTGCTCTTCATAGAATGCCTTCTTCATGCCACTCTGCCTGGAAAAACTCTCCATCCTTCGGCGCCCAGCCAACTTACCTCCTCCACGAAACCTTCCATAATTCCTAACTCTCAAAATTTTTTTCACTTGCCATTTTGGCTCTTTTCCTATTGAGTTGTGATTTGGTGGCCACTCTATAAACAGTTCACACTTGGTAAAATGGAGGGTCATGGAAAAAGAGGAAGACCCTCAACAAGATGGATTGGCACAGTGGCAACATTGGGCTCAGGTGTAGTGATTGTGAGGATTACTCACCTTTGTGCCCTAAAAAATGTTTGCTAAATGAAGACAAAAGGGCTTGAATTCTGTTGAAGCGTTTGGGAATGAAAAGGAACTACCTCCTGAGTTCTTGATAAGATGACTTTAAGAGAATGTGTTTGTGACTGAAAGAAACATGGAGCAGGGATCTATCTTAGGACCTGAGTAGCTACAGCTGAGATTGCCACTCAATTGTCAGGTGACTTTGGACATGCCACTTAATTTCTGAATCTCAGAGATTTCTTATCTCTAAAATGGAGACTTTAATTTCTACCCTGTCTAACTCACTGGGCTGTGGTGAGGTCAAGTAGTTCTATGTGTAAAAACATATACTATGGTACAACATGTAGGGCTGTAAAAAGGATTCCTAGTAAGAAAGAAATGAGAACAGGCCACTCACAAACTGGGTGGGTGGCCAGGAAGAAAGGGAGATTAAGAAGGATTTCAGGCTTTAGTAGTGTGACACTGTAATATCAACATTGGACTGCAAACCACAAGGTCAGCAGTTCAAACCCACCAGCTGCAACTTGGAACACCTATATAGGGTCACTATGAGTCGAAACCGACTTCAATGGCACTTAAAACCAAAAAAAAGAATGAAAAAAAATTTTTTTATAGAGAGTTCAGGTCTTCTCGGACCCAGTCCTTTGGTTAAGGGCTTAGAGTCTGGTGAATTTCTTTCAAGAGAAAACATGCCCCACTGTGAGTCTACTCACAGCCTTGGGCCAGAATTCCCTACAGACCCCATTTCAGCGCTAAGCCACCTCCTCCTCAGGAGAGCCTCTGGTCTTGCTCAGAGCACACTAATGAGGAAGGGGCTCTGCAGATGCTACCCGCTACCCCCTCCTTATTAACCACACAAGGTGGATGATTTCAACTCATTATTGTGGAACCCCTCCCCAACAGAGGCTCCTCAACGGCCTTAAACTCCCCTATCCGGGTTCAGGAAATGTTCCAGGTCGGAAGTGAAGAGACCAAGTCAGCCCAGGAGGCCATTTTCTTCGACAGAAGCAGAGGACTGGGGACGAGGAGGCCCTCCCACCGGAGCGCTCCAGGACACAGGCCCCGTGCCTTCAGATCCCGATCCAGGAGAAAAGCGTTTCACCATTTTGCATTAGCCTCTGGGACAGACGCGGCCCCGAGACCGGTCCCAGTGACTAGGACTGGGCTACCTTCGCTCAAGCGGCGAGGATGGGCCGACGTGTTCAACGTCACAGGGGACTCGAACCCGCCCTCAGTTTTCGAGGCCTAGACCGAGGTTGCTAGGCTAAACGAAATTACACGGTCCCTTTAAGGCGGCACTTTTTATTCATTTGTTTACTTCTTGATGCGCTTTTCGTTTTATTACAAAAAAAAAAAAAAAAATGTTCACAATATCCTTCCGCAAATGGCAATTCCAGGCGCTAACCACACATTTTCAAGCCTTCACTATAATAATCTTAAAAATTGAGAGTTAACAACCGTGGGCCAACTTCTCGCTTGATAGAATTTAATCCTTTTACACTTTGGGGACTACTTTTTAGGAATAAACCACTTTTGCTTTAGTTAATAAATGCTTATGATTTTCATACCCTCCCGCTGAGGATAAAATATAATATCCTTTAAAACGCACCTTTTCGCTAAAATAGTCTGCGTGGCCCTTCAAAGCCCACCGAATCTTCTCGTATTTCTGAAGCACAATGGTACGGTCCAGAACCCGCCCTATTCTACTCTGCGATTGGCTCGCTTTCCACGGGGAGACTTGCGACTCTTGACCAATAATTTCTCACGTTTCCATAGCAAGGGATAAGCGATAGAAGGAGTAAGCCTGAGAGACGCCCCCTACGCGTCCTGGGATTGGCTACGTCGCACGGCGCGCGAGGACAGTCGACATAAACTAGGGGAA